TGGCGGCCCCGCCCGGGACAGCACTGCTGGTGGTGCCTCCGCGCCGGCCCTGCCTCGGTGGCGTGTAACCTGCCAGAGCGAGCTGCTGGCATGCACGGCAGGAAGGCCCAGCCCGAGGTGTCCTAGGAAGCTTGCGGCAGCGCCAGCACCAAACCCAGATTTCATGTCTTGAGCAGTAGGATTGAAGAAATAAACAATACACTTCAAATTACAATCTATAATGTAGATGAACAGCCTTCCACCTACAGTCCACATTATATCCAAGGATTCATTCCAAGCAGGTGATGCAACCTTTGCTATAACCATTGTTTACCTCAAAAATTAAAAGTTTCAAAAGGTGATTCTAGTAAAATCCCAACTAACAACAGAATTGACAATTAACTTTGTATCCAGCTACGAAGAAATAGGCTGTGAGAGTGAGACCAGTGCAGTCTGTTCTCAGCATTCTTTCTAGCTTGAAAGAAGTGTTTCAAGTGTTTGGAACAGTGTGAAATAACCAGGGCCAAATTACTATGTCAGTGGAATGAATGGCCTTAGACTTACTGAAGAACAGACATTGCATCAAAGACTTGTGAGCAACGTTGGATGCTGAAAAAAACCCAAATCAATACAGGGCCACCAGACAGATTTATTTTACCTGAGGCCTTGTGCTTTTTTAATGGCTTCCCTCATGATTAACTCAGCATTTATGAGAGCCATAGTAAGACATACAAGCTGTCTAACCTGAAAGATTGACTCAAACAAAAAGGACAAGTCATTGCACTGATACAAAATCAGTCTTTCTAATGTTTGGCAGTGCTGGGAAACAGCAAATGAGGCAGTCTTTGCTTAAATGGTCTGTGTAATGTTGCTTCACATAAATTTATGTTTTAACAGCTTCAAATCACAAGATGTTCAGGGGTTATTTCAGCTTATGTCCTTAAAAAAAAGTAGGAATTTTGAATTGGACAGATAGTTTATTGTCACAAACTGCCAGAGGCACTTTCTATCAATCTCTTGAGGCATTTAGAACCAGAGGAGTACCACAGCCTCTGAGGAAACACATCCCTCTAGTGGCAAAAGTCTGCCAGGTAAAGAGTATCCTCTATATTCCCTTCATAGTTGTCAAAAGTGTAGAAAAATACCTAGTAAAGACTATCCTCCCCACAACTACACGTGATTCTTCATGTCACTAGATACATATTAATAACATGAAAGTTATGTGACAATGGTATGTATCCCTCACTAAGCTTTTTCTGAAATACTAATGTATTACTTTGCACTGACGGTGTTTTCATCACTGAAGATCCTTTCTGCCACAAAGGGAGTGCGTGGCTCTGTTTTAGATGTATTATCATTTAGAGTAGGAAACAAAAGTACCCGTTACCCTTTTAAGCCTTATTTAAAACCAAACCATTAAAAAAAAACAACCAACGAAAAACCCCCAGAACCATGGAGAAGTATGTTCCAGAGAGAGCAATTTTTGGATGATCTACACAGAGAATTGTGCAGTTCAAAGTCTGCTTTTGTTTAGGGTTTTTTCTTTTTTTTTTTTTGGGGGGGGGGGTTAGTTTGTTTGCCTTTTTAAGAGTCTGTTTACAAAATCTTTTACAGACAGAGACTATATAGGAGATGAGACTGGAGAAAATGAAAGAGCAGAGAAGCATAAATTATGCATATGAGAAGAAAGAAGTTTAGAACTGGTGGCAATAATAAAGGAAGAAGAGCATGGGTGACACTATCAGGGGGGAAGGCTATTAACAGTTATCTAAAGAGAGAAACGTTTGCAGAGAAAATGATAGCATATGTTGAACAATATACAAGTTGTGAAAAAATAGCAAGAGGTGAATTTGACTAGAAGTAACGAGAAAGAAACTATTTATCTAAAGTGGTAGATATAATCCTAATATTCCAAAGATGTGAAGGTATTTTTCTTACTTAGTTCATCTTCCACAAATTATCTGGCAAGGCTTTGCACAAGAAGAAAGCCTTGCAGTTTCCCATACCTTTCCTTTAAAATTTTTAATACTAGAAATCACACAATGAAGACTAACAATACCAACTTGTTTCACATATATTAGGTCACAAAGCCCATTCTACAACTGTATTCTAGAGAAAAGGAATAATTGTTGGCAACTGACATAAGGCATTTTCTCTGTTTAACAACTTTAACAGCTATATGAGCTTAACTGCCACACAGTTTCTTTCAAATTATGGGAATCAACAAAGCCACGGTTTATTGATTTCTGTCAATTAACAGCAGGGTGTATATTACATAGCTCAGCCACAATTTGTTGGTATGCATTTAAGAGCATGCATACAGTCTTAAAACTGTTTAATTGTCAGGTGTGGATTTCATAGAATTGTCAACAAGATTTTTATCAGGTGTTTCATAATGATACCAAGGTCCATCACCCCTCTGTCTCATCAGTCTGCGTGCCTCCGATTCCATCAACCTAAAAAAAACCCAAACCAACAGACACACTCAACATGAAGTTTATCGGGTTTGATCATACATATATCAATGTCAGCAATGAGTTTAGCATCTATGGTTAATAAATACTACTGAAACATAGATAATACCAAAAGAGCTCAACTAAAACATGAGCTATTACAGCCTTCTATTTCTTTTTCAGCAAGTCATAGAAGAGTAATAAAAATACTTGCAGGAATTCTGTCACAGGTTCTTGCCTAGTAAGGGGCTAGACAGTTTGATACAGCTTTCAACTAAGAATACATATGAGCAAGAAAATCAGAAGTAAATATGATGGTAGAAGGAGTTATGCTGTCTTGGTCCCAGTGGCAACAGTTCGTGGAACTCAGACTTTCTTCTACTGCCACAGTCTACTCTGAGTAGGTATAGAACAAACTCAGTACAATGTCGTTCCTGCCCACAAAATTTTCAACAGCAACGAGGAACAGTATCAATCCTGTAAACTGTCATTTAGCTGCCCGATTAAGTGATGAGCATTAGCAGAGGCAAAAAGAGCTGTCCATCTGCTGACTCAGGAAGACAGAGCTATACCTTTATACATACCAATTGTTTTGAAGAGTTGCTGTTGTTTTACAAGAATACCCTTGGATCCTTCCAGTTCTGGTAATACTGAGAAGGCAGAGATTACAGATACCCTAACTTCCACTTTGGAACCAGCCAGTGCAGCAAGCGCTCAGGGTCAAGTGATACATGTAAGCATGTTACATCAGCAGTCAACTTTGTATGTTAAGCAAAATGGTCAACTACAGTATGTATCAGTTTTTTAAACCCTTGAACTATATAACATACCTCAGTTGAACTTTCTTTGCTTCAATATGAAGCAAAGCCATCTCCTTTTCATAGTTCTTTTCAGGGGGGTCAAGGAGGTAACGAGCTATCCAGCGACTTATAGGGTGCTGGAAAATATAAAAGCAGAGATTATTCCTGCAATTTCCAAGTAGAAATGTCATCGTAACTAAATCATTTTGCATGTTCCTGGTCCTGAAAACATGTCATCAACACTACGGGTGCTGCCATTCAAACTGTAATAGTAAAGTTAAAAACATGCTCAACTATTTGTAAGATCAGAACTCTCAAAATCTGTTTTTCTTTTGACATTTTTGATGCCAAGATAACCTGCAGATGACTATTCTGTAACAAAATTAAATGCTAATGGAAGACATGATTTATTTTCTTTCTGTTGAAGTAAAAACTTCCACCGTAATTACAGAAATGAACTCCAAACCTCTTACCATATTCAGTAACATTTTTAAGTTTTGCTTCCACATAGAGGTCATTTCATTAGGAACAGAAGTCTAAGTGAGTTGAAACAGTCATAAAGAATCGCTGACTTCAATTACTTCCTACGAAACCCAAAAAAGTACTTGGCAGCAAGAAGCCAGGAACTAATTTTAAGAAAATTTAATAACATGAAAAAAGTATAACCAAGAGTTTCTGAATATAAAAATCTCTAGTTCTAGATATAAAAACCTGTGTAGCGCTGGACTTTGAAATGACACTAGCAAACAGTACAAAAGAAAGTAATGTCACTTTAAACTCCAGTATCTTAAGATGCTGTAGTTCCAGAGCAAGAACAAGGACAAAAACTGCATGCGAGGAATAAAGAGAACAGAAGACTGTTCTGACTACTTAGGAATATTACAAAGGAATTATTGGCATACAGCTTCAGCAGTTTACTTGCATATAGTTACAGGCCATTCACATCTACTTCTGTCAATAAACAAACTTCCTATAGCAACATGCATGTTCCATAAAGCTGAAAAAAGCCAGTTTACCAAAATCATAATTGCAGTATTTGAGTTCTATTACACCAATACCCAAAGGCCATTCTCATTATCATATTCCACACATTTTACTCCCAGAAGTGTCATCAAGAGGAAGGCTGTTTATAACATGCCACCCTTTTACACGTTACACTCACTTTGTAGTATTCCCAGTACTCTGGAACATAACCTTCGGGAATCTCTGCAAGTTCAGCTTCACCTGACAAGGAAAAGGGAGGAACATTTAATTCAAGTATTTTTCTTTTATGTACTTTATATTCTGCTTTTCATATTAGGAAAATATCATTATTTTACATGGAGAGGACTTAATCTCTCAGTCTAAGCTTTATTCAGAAATATTTCCAGACACTTCATACTGCATATATCTAGCTCACAGACTAGCCACACATAAAAGTGTGAAATTAGCAGCTATACAAAAGAAATAACTTAGATCAAGTCCACAGAAATGCCCTTTAAAGTATATGAGCTGAAAGCATGGCTTTTTCCTTATTTCTCTATTAAATCAATTCCATGTTATTACAGTCATAGATTTAAAACATGTATTGCCAAGCAGAATTTTATTGCAGTTAAAAGCAACAGTTGCAGTGTATGCAGCCTTCTTAAAGTATGTCAAAAAAGGTAATACAGACTCCTCATCTGAATAAAGAACTGTTCTCTAAACGTCACCAATGTTTGAAAGACTGCCAAAAGATGGAATTCTTCTGGTTTTGAAAACGTGGAAATCTTTTTAAAAAGCAACAACTCAACAACCACAGAAAAACAAAAATACTGGGAACATCTTCCATGTACTTACACAGCGTTACCATAATTGTTAGGCCTATTTCATGGTCTCCCAAAGAGCAAACCTTAAGCGATCACTTGTTTCTATACAGCATGCTTAGTTTCTATTTCATAATTTTTGACAGTGTACTTAGCTTAGTCGTGACAGAGCACTCACCAATGAAGATGTTGACATATGTTATAAATAGTGCTGCTGGTATTCCTGTCAGAAATATGTAGAATCGCTGTATAGGGGATAAAAGGAAAAAGAAACAGTATGGGAAACTCCGAAGCCTGACAACATTTAGATGAAGTTAGTCTGAAAATGATGTAAGAGCCAACAGATTGGCATTCATTTGTTAGATGAGGATGCTGTATGTAAGGACATACTGCTGCTTAAAATGGCTTAATTAGAACTAGAATACAGAAACAGCGATGCTGTGTCAGTCCAGCAGCCTATTTAGTTCAGCTTCCCACCTCTCAGTCTTTGCAGAAGCAGACAGTAATGCTTCCCCTGAATGCTGTCTCACCATCTTGTGATGACCAGCTTCAGCATTTAACTGTAACAAGGCACTAACACCAATGTAATATAATCCTGCATAAACACAACCACTGCTGGCTTTGGTATCTGTGGAAGACAGATAAAGGAAGCCCAATCGCACAAAGGGGTTTTCTTCAAGGTGGTTGTTACCGGTCATAACAGGCCATAACAGGTCATAACAATCTATAGCTTTTTAAGGGTCAAACTCAGGTCAGGCTTCCAAAATCTCATTTCTGATGCTAGTGATTTGGGTAACTGAAGACAAACCCTGCAGAAGAGTAACCTAATACATTTTTAAAAGGAGGATGGGGTAGAAAGCATTTGTAGGTTACACATACACGATACACACACATAATTTAAGAATGCTACTACAGCTTTAAATGCCTGTCACAATCTTTGCCATTCAGCCATTCTTTTTACTTTGTCTGGCCCTGATTTTACAACCCATGACAAAAAAGTCTTTAGCAGGAGGACTGAAAATTCTTACATCAATAGTGCCAGACGCATTTTAGATACTGTCACATAAACAATAGAGAAAATTGTATCTTAGACATTTTTACACCATTTGCAAATGATGTGTTACACTGAATATAGTAAATCTGGTTTTAACTCACCAACAAGTTCAGAAATCGAGTATCATAAAATCTTGTGGCCTTGATAATAAACATTCTTTTCCCATGGCTGCTGCTGTGTCGTACAGGAGCTGAAAATTTAACCAGAGTATTGGTTATTTCTCCCTTTTACGATTTTGCCAGGACAAGGTCAACAATGCATGTGGGAAACAAAGAAAGAAAGAGTATACAACAGCATCTGAATCGTTAAGAGCTGTTTTTCTGGGGGATATTGATGTACCTCCAGGTCTATCTATTTCTTTTTTTTTTTTTTGCTAGGATGAACCTATTTTTCTTCTAACTTCCAACACAGGTCTCTTTCTACCTGCAAGTCCCAACAAAGAAATCACCAAATGCCACCATATGGGGCCAAGTAAATTCAGATGAGTACGTTGGGAAGTCTGGCCTCCCGCCGATTTTGATCCAAGTTCTATCTCAGAAATGCCCTTTCTGAGAAGAATGGCGACACACGTTGCACACCCTCAAGAGATTTTCCTCACGTCGAACGCATTTCCACCTGCACAGAC